TGGGTATGGGAGTGGTTTTTGCTGAGGGAGTAGACCGGATTGGTAAGGTACCTGATGAGGCGTTGGGTTGTGGTTTAACCAAGAAATTCCTCATGAACCGGAACAGCCCTTAGTTGGTTGCAGTCACTAATTTGTATTGTGGCGGGATTTGAGTCTGGTTTTATTTTGGTTGTGTACCATGTGTAATTGGCTCTTTAGCTGGTTATAGTGGTTACTCTGATCTGGTTTGATTCAGGAGATTAATTCATATGATTTTATTATTTTTAAAAAGGAGTAGAACAGACAACTTTTGAAGAAGATATACGAAAATAATATTTTTTTGTTTGAACATTATTGCAATTGCTATTTATAAAACCATTGATCAAAAGATTCAGATTAATACTTGTTCTGATAAAAAGACTTTTGAGTTATGTTTATAAGGGAGTTTTTATATTTAATAATTTATATTTGTGGGTTTTGTTAGATTTATTCAAACGGTGTGGTGTTAGTTGCATTGACTATAGTTTGCGAGTTAGTTTTATCGTTAGTCATATAGTATTAGTTAAGGTCTTTAGGATGACGTTATATAATTGCAATTCTAATTAGACTTAATTTCTCAAGAGTTGCATTCATTCTAGACCCAAGTTTTTTAAACTAAAGAAACTTGAACAAGTCTGCACAAAGGCTTAGATGTCAGTATCATGCATGGCTTGGGCCTTGTTGTGAATGAACTTTAAACATTCCAAGATCGGGTCGTTCTTTCGAGGTTTTACATTGTTTCCAATATACACAACAAATTAACATGAGTAAGACTTATTTCTTGAAAAGTGGACACGACACATTTATACTTTCCAACATGCCTCATAATCCACGTACATATCAAAGTCTCACAAAATTTATAATCACAATCTTCTGCCAAACTGTTCATCTTATATATTAAAACAGAAGTCATGACTTAGTTTATGTGTGATTTTTTTTAGTTTGGACCAACTTTTAGAAAATTATTTAAATTATATTATGTATAAACATATGAATTATTTTAGAACAAAAAATCAATTAGATATTCCTATATTTTCTCTGAAAAATATCTGAATAAAATCTTTTCATATTTTTTTTATTTACAATATAAATATATTTCATTTTATTAAGATAAACCTTTAAAATATTTAATTAATTTCGTATTTATTTAATTGTATATTTCATTTTTACTTAGTTTCTTAAAATTATTTAGTTAATTTTGTAATTATTTAAAATTAAACCTATATTTAATTTTAACTAAAATAAAAATTTTAAATATCTAATTTTGTAATTATAAATAAAATCATATAAATTTATGGATTAAATTTAATATAATACTTATCAATTAATTTTTGATTTTTAACCAATAATATTTTAAATTTAGAATTTTGTATCATATGATCTAAAATATGTTATCACTGAAAAATTAAAACAAATAAATAAAACTATTGCATGTGAACTATAAAATTGTTGTGTTTCAATAATATAGATTAAACCATTAATAATATGGTAAATATTATAATTAATTCTGTGAACTATAAAATTGTTGTGTTTCAATAATATAGATTAAACCATTAATAATATGGTAAATATTATAATTAATCCTGTAAAAAAAATAATTATGTGTGTAAAAATTAAAATAATTACCCGCACGGTTGTGCGGGTAGTTATAAATTATTACCCATGCATATATGTGCAACTCATATGGTAAACAATTAAACATGATACAGCAAGCAAATATTGCAAACAAACATACATAATAAAAAGTCTTAGCCAATTCACTAGTATGTCCAGAATCTTTACGCACGTCATGGATTTTCATCAGAATTCAATCTGGAATAAGTTTAGTGACCATCCGAAGCACGAAGGAATGGGCACGAAGGAAGTTATAAAACAATTTACGAGTGGTCGTTAGTCGGTTAAGGTGTACTATTGATAGTTTGTATTATATATATATCACACACACTAATTTATTATTAATAAGCATGGCTCAGTTCATATACATATAAGAGTATGATGAGAAGAAAACGACGAGGGTTCCAATAATCGTTGAGTAGCCGACAAAATATCCCGAGAGACACGTTTCTGACAGTTTATAGAATCACTGCTGGCGACGAAACGTGCTTCCGTAGCACTTGTGTACTTAGTTCTGTTCATAAGTTCATTGCACCTCTCACATTTTCCCCAAGAAAACATTTGTATATTAGTATGTTAAATAAACAACTGAAAACATCATGCTGGTATTGTTTTTTCTTTTGATTTGAAACAAGGTCATACTGTATAATATATAGTTGTATTTCATTTGAACTACATCAATCTAGATATGTAGTTGACATTTCGATAGGATAACCATAAAATACATGAAATTGTGACCTGTTTCATCAATAATTCTCTCAGTAATCTAGCACTTTGACCGTTATATAAACAGTTATGTGATATATCATATATCAATTGAAGGTGGTCAAACCTTTCGTGATTTATTATCTAGTTATTATATACAGAAGTACATGTTACAATGAGAAACCGACAATTATAAATATGAATTGTTACTGATTACAAGATAATTTTGATACTTTTTTGTTGGTCGAAATTCTATGTACCATGTCAAATTTTATTTCAAATTTTCTTTTTATAACACAAATAAAACTGTAACCACAATGCGAATCTCACGTAAACTTGTAACCAACGTTGTTACTGAAAATTAGTTTCTGCAAAATGGATGGAATACTGAATGCAAATTACAAATCTTAAGCGAGACTGTGTGTTAATTGATATTTCACATTAAGTTCATTGTAAAGTAGATTTCTTGTGACAAATTATGGTATTACTTTCTCTCTTGATCACATAAACTAAGAGAAATAAAAAAACAAAATAAAATTCAAATAGTTAAATAAGGCCAAAACTGAACATTTAACCATTTTAATCGATTACATCTAATTTGAAGCGGTTAAAAAAGATATGAGATATATCGATCATTGATCATATTCACAAAGGCAAACTCAGTTTATTGATGAAATATTAGAGTTTGTGAAACTATTCCAAGTATGTATGTATTATTCAAAAAAATATATTGGTCATAGAAATTTGTACCCAGAAATGAAACATAAAAAATAATAATATTTTATAACATATATAAATAAATTCTTATATTATTACTTCAGTTCCATTTAGTAATGAAGGTAATTGTATAGAAAATTATATGAAATTAAGTATACACATCTTTAATTCTGTAAACTCTTAAGAAGAGATATCCTTCATTTTATTCTCTCCATGTTATTTTTATTGGTATTTAAAAAAAATAGTTTATTTTAGTAAGTTTATACAAAAGTTAACGATGTTAACTAGGAAAAACTATCATAATAATTTGATGTTGTAGAGTTTTTGGTAGAAAAATTAGTTTTCATGCGATTTTTATTCTAAAAATATATATTTTAAATTTTGAGAATATTTTGTATCTTTTTCCGTGGTGTGGTTATCGTGCTATAAGCGACAAACTATTTTTATCCTATGTTTAATCGGTAGGTTTCCTTTGTTATTAGATCTATATTTTCTTGTTGTAGAACCGTTCGGTTAAACTTGGTATATCCATCTTATTGTCTTATTAATCGGTAAATAATAAGCTGTTTATAGCAATTATGTAAATAGAAAATTGTATGAATCTTAACACTTATACCAGAAATATGAATTGTTATCATATGAAACATTCAGAAATCATATTTGTTGAATTGTTATCTAATACGTACAAATGCAATATATATTTATTTATGAAAAAATATTTATTTATTTTTATAATTAATGCTACAAAACACCTTGCAAATGGTAATATCACACAGAGAAAAACAACTATTAATCTTTTGTAATTTAACAGAATATATACATTTTGTATATTATTAAGAAATATATATGTTTTGTTAAAAACTATCAAAACATTATCAATTTTATCCCGGTAAACTATTGATATATAAATTTTTTTAAAATAGTGTTAGTTAAAAATCACTAAATTTATAGCACAAATTTTTTTTATCGTTCGCACTCATTTTTTAAGTAATTATTGTTACCTTTAAAAATGATATCTACATATGATTTGCTACTTGATTGTTACAGTAGACAGAATATTATCATATTTAGCATAATAAGTTTATATAGATGAAAATTAGCATTTTATAGACATGATAATTTTTCTTTAAAAAAAAAACAATTTTAGTTGAATAAAATATGAACTATAAATGGAAGGAAACCAAAAGAAAATAAATGTGAATTTTTTATTATATTCTTCCAACAAATCTGGTGCCGTTTAGAATGATTCTTAATGCAACCCTTTTTAGAAGCTTTAATTTAATACTCGCTATATAAAGATACACACATACATACATGCATCTGTCTCTGTCTCTTTCTCTCTCTCTATCTTGTGTCTAGTGGCTTCTTTGGTCTGAATTTAGAAGCCGAAGCAACAGGAGCGTTCGAGGTAATTATATTCTTCCTTCTACTATGCTTTTTTGTTTGTTCTCATTGTTCATTTTTGCACACTACGTATTGTTAGTATGCTTGTTGTTAACAACCTATCATATTTCGTTTTGGCTTCTTTGGTTCTTGATTTTCTTCAGATGGATTTCATTTTCGTCTTTGCATGATCAATTATTTCAATAGTAAAAACGAGTAGACTGGGTTTATGTCCAGGGATAATCATTACTTGATAGACAAGGACTCTCGTCTTTTGTGTTTTTGATTAATCTCTTGGTAGTAGTTTTTTTTTTTTGTTCAAATAACCAATAAAAATTGGAATCTCTTAACCTTTGTGCTATATATTATCAAATCTTAGTTCACATGTTTGATCTCTCCATATTTCACTGATGAGTCTATTTTTTTTGTTTGCTTTGGTTTACTAAGAGTTTTGATTGACATGACTTTATCTGATGGATTATGCAACATTATCTTTGAAGTGAAAACAATAATTTTGATGACAATTCATTTTTCAGGGTTACATCATTTTCTCTCCAATGAAAATGTATGACAACAATACAGGGATTTTCTGCGGTTTAATATCTAACCCGGTGCCTCCATTTCCCGAGAGAGATGCCTATCCTGCTTCACTTACCGCTCCATGTGACGACCTGACTAATCAAGAAATGGAAATAGAGGAGCTTGAGAGGAAGATCTGGAAAGACAAGCAACGTTTAAAGCAGCTCAAGGAGATGTCCAAGAACGGTTTAGGTAAAAGATTATCGAAACAACCTGAGGATTGTACAGAGTATTCGAGTAAGAAAATGATGTACCAGGCACAAGATGGGATCTTAAAGTACATGTCTAAGGCCATGGAGCGTTGTAAGGCTCAAGGCTTCGTTTACGGGATCGTGTTTGAGAACGGGAAAACAGTAACGGGGTCTTCTGATAATCTCCGTGAGTGGTGGAAAGACAGAGTTAGGTTTGATAGGAACGGACCAGCTGCTATCTTGAAGCACCAAAGGGATATCAATCTTTCTTCTGATGGAAGTGAGTTAGGGTTTGAAGGTGGAGAGTGTACTGCGCATAAGTTGCTTGAGCTGCAAGATACAACTCTTGGAGCGCTTTTATCCGTTTTGATGCCTAATTGTAAGCCTCCTCAGAGACGTTATCCGTTGGAGAAAGGTGTGAGTCCACCTTGGTGGCCAACGGGACAAGAAGATTGGTGGAATGATTTGTCTTTACCGGTGGAGTTTAGAGGACTTCCTCCTCCTTACAAGAAGCCTCATGATCTCAAGAAGGTGTGGAAAGTTGGTGTTTTGATTGCTGTAATCAAACATATGGCTTCAGAGATTAACAACATACCTAAGCTGGTGAGACGGTCTAGAAGTTTGCAAGAGAAAATGACTTCAAGGGAAGGCTCTTTGTGGTTAGCTGCTCTTAACCGAGAAAAGAGCATTGTTGAAGAAATGTATGGATCTAATGCCCTAGGAACCAGTGGTGGGACCAATGTTCTGTTTCATGAATCTGCTGATTATGATGTTGAAGAAGCTTATGGATCTCATGTTTCTGAACTTGGCAACAACTTGAGTTGTGTTAATAACAAGAGGAAGCTTGAAGGAGAAGTAGAGTTATCGTTTCATCCAACAACAAACCTAACTTGTGAAAACAGTTACTGTCCTTATAGCCAACCGCAGATGGGATTCCATGACAGGGTCTTGAGAGAGAATCACCAAATGACTTGTCCTTATAAAGCTACTAAACCATTTGGTATGCCCCTAAGTTTCATGGTTCCTTATCAAATGGAAATGCAACAGCAACAACAAGAAGTTCAGAACATTCAAGAACAGTTTAATATATCAAACAATCTCTTCAGGCCAAAAGCAGCAGAGAGAGGAGGTAACAATGACTATCTCTCTGACCACCGGTTTGGTTTGGTTGACAATTCGAGTGTTTCTGCTTCGGTAATGAATCATAATCCTGGTTTAGTCTTACCTGCTAACTTCAATGACAATGCGGAAACAGTAGGGATGGAGAGTAATCAGCAGAATCAAGAGGAAGGCTTGCCCATGCCTTGGATTGAATGAAGAAAGATTCATGAGTTTTCTTATTCTGTTTCCTAGCTTTGTAGCTTTGTGTCTTGTCTTTTTTTTTTCTCATTGAAAATAGTTTTGATCTCTCCCATTTCATTGGTTTGTTGTAGCCATGGGAAAGGTTAGGTTTTATAATTCAAAGTACCTCATTTTCTTTTTTATTGAAGAGCCTATTTTTACTTTTGACCAAATTAAAGTATGAGATGTCTTTTATCTATCTAGAGATCCCCTGTAATGTTCAGTGTGGGATTTATGAGTAGAAGTTGTTCAGAAAGGTCCATTTTTTTTTTTGCAACAAATTCAGAAAGGTCCATATCATAATTTTTTCACCTTTTTTATAAGAGAAAGCAGTTTTAAAACCTAAAGTGTTTATGGAGACCCAAAAAAACCGAAAGAAAGGCGAACCAACAAGAAGCACATCATATGACCAAGACCGCAAGACGGAGTTATTCAAAAAGTTAACATCATTACAACACATCAATTATTTTATGTTTTCACATACTAGAGTTGATTGGTTGGTGATGTAAATTTAGTTTTTTTTTTATTTTAGAAAATATACACTTTAGTTTTTTTAGTGTTGATTTATTTCAAATCACTTAATAAAAGCGATAAAAATTGCTTTTGAAAACTAATAGATTTCCTTTTTAGTTTTTTTTTACTGTAGTTTTATTTTTAAAACTAAAGCATGGTCGTTTTATAAAATTGCTTTAGAAAAAAAATGATTATCAAAAACAGCTATAACCATAGCCAATCAACACCGTTATAAAATAAGAAAAATAAATATATAACAAATCACTGGGAACGCATTAACTATTAAGTATATAATTAACACAAACACATAAATTAAAGGAACAATTCTTGTTTATTTACAATCATTTCATAATAAATAGATCTAAACAATCACTTATATCTATTTTGTATGGTATATAATTAATTTTAAATGAAATTAACATAGATATATTAGTCAATTTTAATATGATTATATATTAAATGAATTTCCATTATCATATGATTTATCACCATTTGTTTTTTTTATTACTATTTATGTTAAGTGTTATAAATATTGCAATGAGATCCATTATGAAAAGTTATAGATATACTTATTCTCCAAGTTTTACTTATTGTTTAAGTTAAACTTTATCTCCAAGCTATTGTACTATTATATAAAGGATTCATCTCTCATGAAATAAGACAGACCAATCTTTATATTCTTTTTCTTACTTACAACAAAACTAAACTTATGAATTGATTTTGTCATAATTTTTTTTTGCCTAGCTAAATAATTTTATAGATATCAAAACAAGTTTACAAAATTAAAACAAATTTCATGTGCCAGTTTTAAAAAATGATTCAAAATTATTACTATATATATGATTTTAGCCTTACTCCCCAATAGATTTTCGTATCCTCTATTTATAGTTACATATACTTTCCATCCCTTTTTTGTTTCTCTAGTTTGTGACTATAGTGTCCAAAACATGGAATGACAACTCAATATTACCATCGTTCATAAAACTTGATCCATACTTTCCTTACCATATTGCAATCACTTCTCATATAAATCAATCACAGCTCAAATATCCATTCTCTATTTCTCTCATTCTAAATCAAAATTTTGTTTTTAGTGTTCCCTCCTCTATTTGATCATGGCCGATGACCAACGGTCCCCACCAAAAAACAATGATGTCTTCATTACAGACATGAACATTCGCAGAACAAAGAATCAATCCATTGACATTACTAACGACAACATCTCAAAATCTTCTAGAAGCTCCGTTGACTCTCAAAGACCGATACCACCTCCAACACCACCACCACCATCACCACCTGGAACATATATTTTTCAACTCCCTAAAGAGCAGATCTACCGTCTTCCTCCGCCGGAGAACGCTCGCCGTTACGAGGATCTCTCTCGCCGGAAGCTTAACCGATCATCTTATCGCCGGTGTTTCTGCTACTCCTTAGCTGCTCTACTCGTTCTCGTCACCCTCGCGGCGGTTCTTGTCGGGATCTTCTTCCTCGTTTGCCGACCGCATAAGCCGATGTTCTCCGTGAGTGGAGTCTCCATCGCCGGAGTCAACCTAACGTCGCTAATATCTCCGTCAATCAAAATTAACTTGCGTGCTGAGAACGTTAACAAGTTTCTCGGGTTAGTATACGGCGGAGGAGGAAGCGCGGCGGTGATTTTCTACGACGGAGTCAAACTAGGTGACGGCGAGTTAACGCCGTTTGTTCAGCCGGCGGATAAGGTAACGGAGACGGAGACGACGTTAAGGGGGACGGTGATCGAGTTAGCGAGCTCGACGCGGGAAGGTTTGAAGGAAGCTGAGGAGAAAGGAAACGTGGCGTTTGATTTGAGGGTTAAAGCGCCGTTTAAGTTTAAGGTTAGGGCCGTGACCATGTGGAAGATGGTTGTTACTGTGGACTGTAAAGTAACAGTGGATAAGCTGACGTTGGCAACAACTGTGATAACGGAGAATTGCGTTACAGAAGACATAGTTATTTGGTAATTTCGTATTATTTGTTAATTTCGTATTGTTATTTGGTTTGTCTGATTTATTGGTTATTTTCTGAGCAAAAATTGAAAGTTGATCATATTTTTGATGATAGTTTAATCTGGTTCGGATTATAAATTTTGAAAAAGGAAACAAATCAGAAGATTTAATTTGTCAATTACTTAATAAATTTAGGATACATGAATTTAGGCATTAATACATTGTCATCAAGTGTTTTTTTGGTTCACTTTTTTTTTTCTTGTTCAGATGTCATCAAGTGTTTTAAAGGCATCTTTAGTGGGGGTATCTAGTCATCAGATATCTTACCATTATAATATTAATAAAATCCAAAATAAAAAATTACTTTAATATAAATAAATCATTGGTTGATAAAAAAAAATCATTTAAATATCTTGTCGGCTTCAAAACCAAAGTCATAACTCCATTAGTGTTTCCATAAGAGAGAACATTATTAGACCAAACCAAATTGCCAGTGATGTTTGGAGAATAGAAACACGCATCAAAATATACATCTAAGTCCTAAAACCTCCGTTCTGAAACCTTTAACTCAAGTGTGCAGCGCTACGAGTTACTCTTCTCCTAGTGATACCACTACTCGAGGCTAAAGAAGCTTGAGAAGAAACGTTTTCTAATGAGTCTCTTTGATTCCTATGTCTCCTTTTCTTGGATCTTAAAGCTGTGGCTTTAGTATCTGTTTCCTCTTCCTCATCATGATCATTCACTGCTGCTTCAACAGCCTCGTCTTTTGGAACTCTACCCAAACGCCATTGCTTCCCGCAACCAGAGCAAACTTTATCATCCTACAAAATTTTATATGATCAGCAAGTTGCATACTATTGATGTCAAACTCAAATCTAAAGAAGCTGTGTATGTGTGTACCCTTTGAGACAACAAGTTTTTGAGGCAGTACTTGTGTATCCGGACCGTACAACCATCATTTGGACACAAATCCGCCTGGGAAACAAGTGTTAGAACACAAAGCATCAGATAGCAAATCATCAGCCTATATATATCATAATCAGAATGCTGCAGACCTTGATTTCTCCAGCTTCATTGCAAACCTCGCAAGAAGGAACATCATTGTTCCTTTACAAGTTCTTCGAGGGTTTTGTCCTTTTGCGACATTGAAAAGTTCTTGAATGCAGGAGGGACTTGCTGTTGTTGACTGCTGCTGGTGGCTTCACTTGGTAACTGAGATATCAAACACAAGATCTATCAATCATAACAAAGACACCAAGAATATAAACTCCAAACAAATGAATAGTGATAACAAAAAAAAATTGGTAATGTGGTAGATCTCAATTAGTTGTCTTTACCAAACAGACAGAAGAGAAACGCTGAGAAATTTTTAGATTCAACAGTCCTAAACGGGGATGAAACACTTTATCTCAATCAACAACAAGAATACAACTCAGAGTGTATGAATATTTGATCAACGAGCAACAAAGTTAAATATCGTTTCAGACTAAAAATCTCAAAGACAAGAGTATACTTTCAAGTGAGAGTGACTCTGTAAGATAGTAACAGTTCTAAAGCCACCATGATCAGATGATTAAGAAGTGGATATGGATGGTTCCTTCTACCACAATATGATGAAACATATATATACAGAACAGAAGTCAGGGGCTATGATACACCTGGTTCTCTAATCGGATATTGAGGGCATCAAAGCCTGATATGCAACCTTGGGCAGCTTCATCCTGTGCAATTGCTTCTATCTGCCAGAAAGCTAAAGTCATCAAGTAACAAGTAGCACAACTATTCACTCAATACAATCCAATAATCATCTCAGTGCACACATCTCAAGAAGAGAGATAGAGTAGTGCAAATGCAACTTACAATGCCTTTAAAGAATGCAATCTGAGGAACAGAATACTTAGTCCCGAGTTTGGACTGATCATCAGAGACATTGTTAACCACACCGTAACAAACTTGGCCATCATACTGATCTCTACAAGCTCTCAGCTCAAAGTGAACATAAGAAAGCTCTTTGTTTATCTCAAGAAGATACTTATCAAATATCTTCTTAGCAACTCCTACCAAACAAAACACAATGAATCATACTAAAAACAGTTCCTTTTCAACATTCAACATTGAGATAACTGATGGCTGATCAAATTGGACAAAGTAATGATTTTTATTCAACTATAAACCAATCCAAGGCAAACCCACAAAAGTTAATTACAGAATGATCGGAAACTGACCTGGGTTTCTACCGGTGACGCCGGTGAAGATTGAATGAAACTCTTTCTCCTTGAGAGGGCCTCACGTGATCAGAGCTTGAATTAGCGTGTGGTGCTTCCAGCTTAGCGATTCCACCATCCTCACAAGCTTAGGGTTTCTGTGAATTAGGGTTTTTGAGAGAAGAGACGACAATGAGAGAGATGGCGGGAAAGTGAATCGACACGACGACGTTTCGACAGCTAATTTGTTTAATTCGGCTTTTTAAGTTGTTTTTTTTAAATCTTACGCGGTAATTGCAGTTTGGTCCCGAATATAATGTATATTAGCACATCTAACCATTAACTATAGTGAAATTTCAGAAAACGACATAATAAAATCAAATGGAAAAAATATGAGCTGTCATCAAAATTGAGAGTTGATTTTTTTGCTAATAATGTTTGAGTTTGAACAATATCAACACAGAGGAAATGTAAAGTGGGTTTGAATAAGAATAGTAAAATAGTAACTTTTGTATTTAAAAAAAAAAAAAATTAAAGAGGAGAAGTTATATATACATGAAAATGATGTTGGTTGCTTTACATTTAAAGGAGAGAGAGAAGAACATAGGAAAGGCAACGAAAGAGGTCACAGAAGATGACAAAGACCACTGCACTGCACAACACACTCGCTACAAGCACGTCCCCTCGTTTTATCCTGCACGCCCCTACGTAAGCAACAAACCATTTTGTTTGTTTTATACTAATATTAGTATTCTGTACTAGGTTGCATGGAAACTCCGTTCAAGGTCCGTTTCCTGTTTCGGAAACGTTTCGGAATCAGAATCTCTTGGAAACTCGAGGAAACTCTTTAGAAACACGTTTTTTGAAAATTTTATTTTGGAAACACGATGGAAACTTGTGTTTCTGATTTGGAAACTCACGATTCTAATTTGGAAACTCGCGATTCTAATTAGAAACGTATAAAATAAATATTTGGCATTTGATGTTAGTGATTACATGTTTATTATTTTATATTCTAATATTATATTTTGATATTTGTTATCATTTTAGTATAACGATTTAATTTGGAATGAATTTACTCCATAGTTTTATCGAATGATAACATGTGTTACTTTTCTAGTTATTGATTATAATTTTAATAAAAGGGTAATTTTCTAAAATAGCTCTCTTTTAAGTTTTTATCACAAAAATAGACCTCAAAAATTAAAATGACCAAAATAGCAATTTTTATTTTGAAAATTTTAAATTTTCTTATTTTTTTTTAAATTCGAAATCATATCCCCAAAACCCCACTCCTCAACTCTAAACAAAAAATCTATAATTAGTTAACCCAAGGGTATAAATATATATTTAATAAAACATTTAAGTGCTATTTTGGTCATTTTAATTGTTAAGATCTATATTTGTGATAAAAACTTTTTAGGTCTATTCTAGTCATTTTCTCTTAATAAATGTACAAAAAATATTTATATTACTTAATCTTTTTTCTTAGGTAAATCAAACAAAAAAATAAATTTACATGTTGATTAATCATACATATATATACACATATATATATTATAGGCGTTTCCAAAACGTTTCCATTTCTAATTTTTTTTAAAATCATGTTTCCACGTTTCGAAACGTTTCGTTTCCGCGTATCCGTTTCCGATTCCATGCAACCTAGATTCTGTATTTACAAGACAGATATAAATTACGTTCGAAACAATTTCTAAACTTTGATTCACGTTTGAATTTCAAAATAAAGTGATACTTTTCCATCTAGCCAATTCTGTAATTATTCAAAACTTTGAGATGATCATGAGTCATAACATAACATGTTATAGATATATAGGGATATAAATGCATATAGTAGTGGCTTAAAAGGTCGTTCATAAATGAAAATAACTAGTAAGACTTTTAACTGATGCATTATGGAAGCTGAGGAGGACATACTTACCGCAACACCAGTAAATTTAATACCATGAACCATAAAAGAAGTGGTGGAAAAATAAATATTTACTTTCGCAAGTAGTAGTGTACTCCTATGAAAATGAAATGATATCACACGTTAATTATTTAAAATTTGAGATGATCATATAACATAACATGTTATGGATATGGGGACATAAATGCACATAGTGGCTTTAAAGGTAGTTCATAAATGAAAAACAACTAACTGATGCTTCATGAGCTATGGAAGATGAGAAGGTTATAGATACCAACACTACCAGTTAAATTTAATACCATAAACCATAAAAGAAGTGTACACTCCTATGATATCACACGAGAATAATATTTGTTACTATATAGTTTTCTCTATGGGTGGTAATGTGTAACGGTCCAAACGTGCATATATTTTTTTTTTTTTTATCTCTTACCATAATAACATAAAATAATAAAAAACGTGAGGAGATAGGGACAATGAAAAATCCAAGAATATAGGGGCGTAAATAATAATTATCAGGAAAAGGTAGGTCCCATATTATTACTCCTTCGCGTCTCTGTCTTTTATATCAAAAGCGTAGGAGAGTAGAAGAGACCAATAACAAACCATTTCTTCCGCAAAAAACCTCTCTCTCTCTCTCGTCTTCTTCTTCTCCGTAGTAACTCTTCTCTAGGGTTTTTCTCCGTCGTCAACCTTGAGTTGGTACTCTTTTCTTAACACTCAAAGTATAGTTCCAATGTATGTTATTGTGTCTTCTACACATGCATATAGTCACGGTTCAACGACTCGTCGATTTTTTTTTGTTTTTTTTTTTCTTAAGGATTTTGTATGTCTTGCTTGTTTTTCGTCGTGTTTCAACTGTTTGTACTGTGAATCGGTCTAAAGGAGTAAACTTTTTTGTGTGGGTTTCATGGGTTTTTTTTTTTTTTTTGTTAAAAGTATCTTCATGGAAACGTAGATCTCTTACTTATTGTTCATGTTGCTATGGTTTTTACGCCCTTATCTGCTAAAAGTTTGAGTTTTGTTCGTCTCTTACTACTTATTGTTCATATGACTCTTAAAAGTGTTCGTTTTAGCACTTGGTACTCTGTTTCATCCGTTATTTTTTTGCACTTGTTCTTGTACACGTAGATCTACATGTTGTTAAGGTTTTTATGATGATTCTGCTCTTTATCTGCTTAAAGCTTGAGTCTTTTTCGTCTTTATATGAGTCTCTTACTTATTGTTCATATGACTTAATTTTCATCACTTGTACTCTGTTTCATCCGTTGGTTTTATCATTATTTTTTGCACTTGTTCATATGATTTGTTTTTTTGTCATCGTTCTTTCTGTTGCTACTGTGAATCGCTCTAAAGGAGTAAACTTTTTGTGTGTGGGTTTCATGGGTTTTTTTTTTTTTGTTAAAGTATCTTCATGGAAACGTAGATCTCTTACTTATTGTTCATGTTGTTATGCTTTTTTAATGATTATTCTGCTCTTTATCTGCTTAAAGTTTGAATCTTGTTCGTCGCTTGAATATGACTCTAAAACTTGTTGTACACTTTTTACATCCGTGGGTTTTATTTTGCCTGTGACAAATATAGTATGTACAAAACATCTGCTTGCTTTGTGGAGTGTTGATGTTTGTTTTGTTTCTTACCTATACTTGTTTTTGCCCTTTTTGCAGATATGGCTTCCGATGAAGATAAAGGACTCCCACCTCCTCCACCTATGGTTCCTTCAAACCTTGTCCCTGAGGTGGAGCCCATCAAGAGGAACTTGCTTCTTCCAATGGCTCGCCGTGGCACTGGGTCCAAAGGACAGAGGATTCCTCTACTTACAAATCACTTCAAAGTGAACTTCAACAACGCAAACGGCACCTTCTTTCACTACAGTGTATGCTTCTTGTATTCCTCTAATGTATTTGTATTACTGTTTCTTTGATGCTTAAGTGTTTGTCTCTTTGATGTTTGGATACAGGTTGCCATTACTTATGAAGATGGCCGGCCAGTGGAGGCTAAAGGAATTGGAAGGAAGATTCTTGATAAGGTTCAGCAGACCTATCAAGCTGACTTGGGATCCAAGTACTTCGCGTATGATGGTGAGAAGACTCTGTTCACTGTTGGTCCTCTTCCCAGCAACAAACTGGATTTCTCTGTTGTTCTTGAAGACGCACCTTCTAGCAGGTGATGAGAGTTCATTTTTTAAAAATATATATATTTACTGTTTTATTTTGTTCCAAGTTTATGATTTAATATTCTCTTGTAACTGCAGAAACAACACTGGAAGCCCCAATGAAACAAATGATGCTGACAGGAAAAGATCAAAGCGTCCCAACCAATCCAAGAAGTTCATGGTGGAGATAAGCTACGCGGCGAAAATCCCCATGCAGGCTATCGCAAGTGCTCTTCAGGGGAAAGAAACCGAGAATCTTCAAGACTCTTTAAGAGTTCTGGATGTGATTCTGCGCCAGTGTGCAGCTAGGCAGTAAGTATATACTCTTTGAGTCTATGTTAAACCTTCATATTATATTTTTGTTGGTATTTAAAGCATCTTCTTGTTTGCAGAGGTTGTCTCCTTGTTCGCCAGTCTTTCTTCCACAACGACGCTCAGAACTTTGTACCCATTGGTGGAGGTGTCATTGGCGTGAGAGGGTTCCATTCCAGCTTCAGAACCACTCAGGGAGGCTTGTCCTTAAACATCGGTAATCATTTTTGAACTTAATGTGTGTTGTTGGACTCTTCTTTGTAAAACTTTGGGTATTAACACTTTGGTCTCTTGATTCTGTAGACACTTCAACTACGATGGTTGTGCAGCCTGGCCCTGTTGTTGACTTCCTTCTAGCAAATCAGAACGTGAAGGACCCATACGCTGTTGACTGGAACAAGGTACATCGTTTTCTTTTATGCTGTAGACTTTCACTAATGTTTAGCATCTTTAAGAAGTACTTAAGTGATATTCTGTCATCAGGCTAGACGTGCTCTCAAGAATCTCAGAGTTAAGGTTGCTCCCTCAAACCGAGAGTACAAGATAACTGGACTAAGTGAAGATCGCTGCAAAGCTCAAATGTATGTATTGATTTGAAGTATTTTTTTTTATTACATGCTGGAATCGCTTTTGAGTTATTTCTAAACATAACTCTCTCTTTGACTATTACAGCTTTACTCGGAATGCTAAGAACGACACGGGGGAAGTTGTGGAGCATCAGACAACTGTCTATGAGTACTTCACTGAGTTCCGTAATATCCCACTAAGGTACTCAGGTGACTTCCCTTGCATCAATGTTGGCAAGCCAAAGCGCCCTACTTACATCCCCATTGAAGTAAGTTTTTAAGTTCATTGTTGTTTCATTCATTTACTGGCTTATACTTGTTTGGTTTATTACTTGTTGATTTTTTTCTGTTTCAGCACTGTGAACTTGTGAGTCTTCAGCGTTACACAAAATCACTTACCAATATTCAGAGGGCTTCCCTGGTGGAAAAGTCTAGGCAGAAGCCACCTGAAAGGATGACTTCTCTAACAACTGTAAGTCTTTTTTTTCCATTATCCTTTAAGAGTTTGAAGCTTTTTTTATGTTTAATTTGATTTATGTTCTGATTCATCTTGCAGGGTCTGAAGAACAGCAACTACAATGCGGACTTGGTGTTGCAAGAGAGTGGTGTCAGCATTGGCTCTAACTTCACCCAAGTGGAAGGCCGCATCTTACAAGCACCAAAGGTGACTTACCACTTGCTTTACTGGTTGAATCTAGAAGGTTTAATAGTGCTAATTATCTTTCATTGTTTTTAAATAGCTGAGAGTGGGCAATGGAGAAGACTTTCAACCTCGCAATGGCCGCTGGAACTTCAACAATAAGGTGGGTAGACTTTCTTTTTTTTCCTCAGTTGATTAATTTTTCAGCCTCTGACACTTATTGAATTTCTTTGCAGAAACTTGTTGAGCCAACAACAGTTACTAGATGGGCTGTGGTCAACTTCTCTGCTCGCTGTGACACAAACAGGCTGATTCCTGACTTGATCAGATGTGGAAACATGAAGGGCATTGTAAGCTTTTTTTTCTTATTATTGATTACAATATAAACTCAAGTCTTATTCACTGCATTGTTTCTTATTATTCCTCTCTTGCTTTTGTCTACCCTGTAGAACGTTGAGCCTCCATACGAGTTTGTCTTCCAAGAAAATGCTCAGTTCAGGAATGCACCACCACATATCAGAGTGGAGAAGATGTTCGAGCAGATTCAGTCTAAACTCCCAGGGAAGCCTAAGTTCTTGCTTTGCATTCTCGCTGAAAGGAAAAACTCTCTTGTTTATGGTAAAGCATTTTATCATTCTCGAAGAGTAATTTTACCTATTGGTATATGTGAAACTTTATATATCGTCTGTGTTTTTTCAGGTCCTTGGAAAAAGAAGAATCTTGCTGAACTTGGAATAGTGACTCAGTGCATTGCTCCCACCCCCAGAATCAATGATCAGTATCTCACCAATGTTCTCCTGAAGATTAATGCTAAGGTTATCTCTGAAAACAATTAGAATTTCAAGATTGATTATAAAGACCTTATAGCTTATTGAATTGAGTTATTTATTTTTGTATATGTAGCTGGGTGGTTTAAATTCTCTGTTAGCTATGGAGCGCTCACAGGCAATGCCTTCAGTTACGCAAGTTCCTACAATCATTGTCGGGATGGATGTTTCTCATGGTTCCCCTGGCCAGTCTGATATTCCATCAGTTGCTGCGGTAACATTAACTTTGTTCTCTATTTATTATTATATATGATGTCATCTTCTATCTCTAGTAACTTTGATGCTTGTTTGTTTGGAAACAATAGGTTGTGAGCTCTAGGCAATGGCCACTCATCTCAAAATACAGGGCATGTGTGCGCACACAGTCTCGGAAGGTGGAAATGATTGACAACCTCTTCAAACTTGTCACTGACAAAGAAGATAAAGTGGTTGATGAGGGAATATTCAGGTAAAATTCTTGACTGTTGTGATGTATTAATAGCTTTGTCATGTTAGTCCTTTAGCAGCAGTTTAATTAGATATTTTATGCTCTTTTCAGGGAGCTCTTGGTGGACTTTTACTCCAGCTCCGGGAAGAGGAAACCGGAACACATTATCATTTTCAGGTATACTTTTAAATTTATTAAAATTAGTATAAAACATTTTGTTAACTCACGTTTATTAATGTTTCATGCAGGGATGGTGTGAGCGAGTCACAGTTCAATCAAGTGCTGAACATTGAATTGGATCAGATGATGCAGGTATAGATTATGGTTCAGTGACCCAAATACGTTTTATTTACTACATTTTATATGGAACTTATTTTCTTTTTGGGTTACCTTATTAGGCATGCAAGTTTCTTGATGAAAAATGGAACCCCAAGTTCACTGTGATCATTGCCCAGAAGAACCATCACACCAAGTTCTTCCAGTCTGGTGGTCCTGACAATGTTGCTCCAGGTATAATCCATTTTGATCTGAGCATATGATTTTCTTTTGGTTATTGTGGGTTAAAATGACTTGAAACATATACCGAATTGACTTTTGCAGGAACAATCATTGACAGCAAGATCTGCCACCCTCGCAACAACGACTTCTACCTCTGTGCTCATGCTGGAATGATTGTAAGTAACAAGCCCCATCGGTTTTACCTCTGTAGTGAAACTCCTCTGCCCTTGACACTTGTCTGTTGATTTCAATGTATTTAGGGAACTACAAGGCCAACACATTACCATGTGCTCTACGACGAGATTGGATTCACCACTGATGACCTCCAAGAACTTGTCCACTCTCTGTCCTATGTGTAAGCATTAAATCTCTTTTTATCTGAAACATTTGTTTTGTGGTTTTACTTAAAACTTGTCTCTTGCTTTGATATTTGTAGCTACCAGAGGAGCACCACTGCCATCTCAGTCGGTGAGTTCTCATATCTCATTGGATTGCGCATCTATCATTGTATTTTTTTTAACCGTGTGATGGCTAGTGTATTTATTGAGGATGGGTCTCAAGTTTCCTAGTTTTTTGTTTTGTTTTGGAAGTTGCACCGATTTGCTATGCTCACTTGGCGGCTGCACAGATGGGAACAGTGATGAAGTTTGAGGACATATCTTTGTCTGAGACATCATCGAGCCATGGAGGAATCACTACACCTGGAGCAGTCCCTGTGCCACCCATGCCAAAGTTGAACCCGGAGGTTGCAAGTTCCATGTTCTTCTGCTGAAGGAACAGTCCATCCATTCCAGTCCCACGGCTTTTAGTTTTTCTTTGCGTACCAACCAAACTTTAAATGCCCTTTGTAGACTCTTGTCTGGGTCATTGCTACCACGTTTGTTTCATCCGCCCCTTTTATCTCTGATACTCTTTGAATCTTTTGATGGGCGTTGGTTGAGGATATTGTTATCTATGCTTTTAATCAAATCCGTGGTATTTTAAGACATTTATTGGTTGCTTTTAGCAGTTTTACTGTTTAACTTTGCTTATCGACTGAATGGTTGTGAACTTGCAACACAAGTTAGGGCTTTTGATAAGGCCCATCATTAGATATGAGTGTTTATGGGCTTGGGTTATATCAATTAATAGTTATGGTAGCATAAAAGAGTGGGGAAGCGAGAGAGAGCTCTATCAAGTATCAAAGAGTTGATCATTCATCTTCATGGGTTATTCAATATTCATGTTCATGGGGAAGTGAGAAACTCTTTCTAAATCTCTCAAACCTGTAAACACTTGTCATAAATAAAATGAGTATTTCCCTTTAATCTCTGTTCTCCTGGATTTGATATATAGACTACAAACATGCGGTTAGCTTTACACATAGACCTGCGGTTATTAACCCAACATGCCAAACCAATAAGGTTGGTTTTCAGTTCAGATGGTTAGAAGGTTTGGTTATGTTTGTTAATTAAGAAAATTTTGGTTTATGGCACGGTGTATGGTAATTGACTAGTTGGATTTTCTATAAAAAAAAATTTAACCGAAAATCATAACAAAATAACCAAATTTAACAAAATTGTTTTGAATTTTATTCATTTAAACTGAACCAAAATTTAACCAAACTCTTTTTAACTAAACCAAAATTTAATTGAAACTAAACCAAAATTTAATTGAAACTAAACCAAATTTATTTAAATTTATTCATTTAAACTAAACCAAAATTTAATTGCATATCAAAAACTTTAGCTTTATACGCAGCTAAAAACCACAAAGTTGCGCCAAGGTTAACGAAATAGTACAAAAAGTTCAACACCATACCAATAATAACAGCGTGGAAATAACATCAAAATACTGCACAAGCATAGCACCATCCATCATTAGCTGCACAAGGACAACATAATACGACAATTACGGAAGAAATGACTACTGAAGACGCTTTTCGTTTTATTACCGAGGCCATAGAGATGAAGAGTGTCAGGTCGGCAAGATTTTATATCTTTGTGGCAAGTCCCTCTACCTCTAGAATGAAGCAAGAATGATCTGAGAGAAAATGTGATGGATGTGGTCTTTATTAAACTAGTGATCACAAACTGGTGTTTATGACTTGTGATAATGAGTTCCGTCTCATCACTAATGATCTAAGAGAAAATGGGATGGATGTGCTCTTTATTAAACTAGGAGAAGATGAAGTTCATGGTCAACCCACAAGTTGCACCTGGTCAGTCAACTTAAATAAAGTATTTAAGCAATGTCCTAATTGACAATGTGTGCTAAAAACAACGTTACAAGAGAAAAAAAGATAGATAAGCTGAGAAGAAGAGGTGTCAACTGAGAATAGAGGGGAGAGCTTGAGGAGAAATCGTTGAGAAGAAGAAGTAGAGGCGTTTCCGCAGGCAGGTTTCTCGTTTATCTGAAATTTTGGGATCTTTTCTCAATTCAATTGGGTTCAGATTAATGATATTAAGATACATACTATTGTGATGTCTTTCTAAAATCTTTGTTTCTTTATTGTCTTACATTTTAAGTTATTGAGTTTATGTATTTTTATTGCTTTACATTTTTATTGCTTTACATTTGAAGTTAAAATTTTTGTTTCTTTATTGTCTGGTATATCTTTTAATTAATGAAGGATTATTTTTCTGTGCTGGAAACACAGAAAACTAGCTAGAGCAAACAGTTTGGAGGAATATGAGAGAGGAATGAAATTCATGACAACTCTGGTGCTCTGTTAGAGACAGAAACAGCTCTAGAGATTACTCCAGTGGAAGCTTTGAGATGTTCTTCGCCAACAGTGTCACTGAACCAAGTATCAACTAAAGATTATTCACTGGTTCTGCACTCCTAGAAGCTTAGTTATCTATGGTGGTACCATTTGATTTACACACAAGTTGCCTTTCTGATCCTGGTGAGAAATTGTCTGTAAATCAGTGCAATTCGAAAACGGATTCAAATGTTACTGCAAAAACTCTAATGGATGGATTACTACATCTAGTTATTGGTTCCATTTTCGTAGAAGCTACATTACATAAACTTAACACAAATGATTTTAAGTGGTAGAACAAAGGACTGGTTTCAACAGGATTAAGATTTTCATTTTAAAATGATAAAGAGTATTAATTTAAGTGATAGAACAAAGGACTGATGTTATTTAGTAAACTTAACACAAAAGCACTCTCTAGCTTCTTCTTCCTTAGGCAACCTATTCTTGTTTGCCTCGTTCAACAGATTGCATCTTGTTTCTTTCGTTCAAGAGATCCACTTGTGGACTTCTCTTCCTGCTTTCGCAATCCTTTTCTTGAGCATTTTCCTCATCCAGATTCTTGAGCTTGAAAACAAACCAT